AGGAATGCCAGACACATTAACGTGCCAAGTCTGAATAAATACGGGAACTACTTAAATCTTAGCGTGGAGAGTAGGGAAGCAGACTGTGTCTGAGTTCTGTTACAAAGAACGCTGTACTCGATTAGCAGCGTCTGCCTTGGCAATACTCACTAGACATGTCGGGAATGGAGTATTGGGAGAAGAGGCTACGAGCTGGCCCAGATTCAGAAAGGGACAAGGGGTATATTCCATCCTCGCCTTAGGTGGTTGTTCTGCTGCCCAGGCTGCGTTGTCTCACTGGCCAGGTGGCTGGGGAGGCCGACTGAAGGCCACGAAGCTTCAAACAGCTTCCCCAGGCTCTTGGTGGAAGAGCAGAAGCCCCAAGCTAGAGAGGGAGCTTGGCAGGGCAGCCCATGCAGGGCCCTAAAGGGGTGTACATGCTGCAGGCGACCCCGGAATTAGCTCCTTATCCTCTGGAGTCAGCCTCATGCAGGCAAAGGCAGCTCGATGGCTGTCAAAGAGGTAGATGCAACTCAGGGGTGAAAACACTCTTCCATGGCACTTACCCAGAAATAACCTTAATCTCTGGATAAACTTTCAAAAATTCCCATTCCAAACTAAAATGGTTTGCCTCCTGTGTGCTACCAAGAAATCAAAATAGAATAAAAGGACAGTCTTACTTTAATCAAGTCCGGAATGAGGCCACACTGCTTTGAAAAGCACTGTCTCAGCAGAAGACACAAGGGTGTGTGTAAAAGAATGTTTCTGGAAAATACCAAAGGCACCAAACATACCCCCTACTCTGCCTTCTGCTTCCCTTCTGTGCCGCTCCATACCCTGGGGCCGGGAAGCTACTTTTCCCAGCTGACTCTGAGCATGTCACAGTGCTCCGTGAGTGTGTCCAGGTCTCTGCTGAGTCCTCTGCTCTCGGTTTGTGGGTTTGGGATGCTTTCTTCAGCATCCTCTCCATTTGCTGCATCTCCTCCAAGGCCACCCGGGCCGGGGTCCACTTTTCCAGGCCACACCTCTTCTCCTTGTTCTTTATGCTCCTTCCCATCGCTTCCAGGCGTTTTGCCTTGTCTTTGGCCTTTTTCTTCTTCTGCTTGGTCATGCTGAGCTCTGCGACACCTTTCAGCTTCAAGGGCCCCTTTTGGACCTGCTCGCAGGCCTCCATGGCGCCCGTCTGCGGTTCAGTACCATCTTCGCAATTTTGATTAGTAGCGTTATGCTGGCTTTATAAAATGAATTTAGAGGTTTTCTCTTTCTCTTTACTCCATCACAGATTTAATGGCATTGGATGTCCAGTTCTGTTCCCTGAAATTTTATAGAAATCACCTGAGATACCATCTAGGCCTGGTGATTTGGTGGGGGGTAGAGTTTAGATAGCTTTTTCCATTTCTTTTTTGGTAATTAGTCTGTTTACAGTTGCTTTCTCCATTAAGAGTCAGTTTGGTATTTTATGTTTTCTTAGAATATCCTCCATTTCATCCATGCTCTCAAAATTATTTGCAATTATATTTCCAAAATAAAAGAAACCCAGACATCTTAGATTTGTTTGTATCAACCTCCTGTTTTGCAGTTGATTTCTGTTTTTATCTGTATTTAATAGTCTGTTCTCTTTCCTGAAGTTACGTTTGTTATTTCTCTACCCTGCAGACTATGATGTATACTTTATTTACTTTTATTATCTTTGTTTAGTAATGAAAGTCTTTATGGCTGTGACTTTTCCATTTATGTATGTATGTATGTGGCTGCATTGGGTCTTAGTTGTGGCACGTGGGATCTTCGTTGTGGCATGTGGGGTCTTTCGTTGCAGGCTCTTCATTGTGGCATGCTGGCTTCTCTCTAGTTGTGGCACACAGGCTCCAGAGTGCATGGGCTCAGTAGTTGCGGTGTGCGGGCTTAGTTGCCCTGCGGCATGTGGGATCTTTGTTCCCTGACCAGGGATCGAACCCTGCATCCTCTACATTGGGAGGCCGATTCTTAACCACTGGACCACCAGGGAAGTCCCGACTTTTCCTCTCGTGCATGGCTTTAGCCATGTCCCATTGATTCCGATATGTTATTCTTTAGATATTCTATAACTTTGGTTTTAATTTCCTCTTTGACCTAAGAATTGCATTAGAAAAGTTTCTTATAGTTCCAGGTGGTAGGAATTTTTGTTCATTGTCATGAATTTTTACCTTTATCACCTATGATCAGAAGTTGTGATTTGAACTTTTTCCTTTTGGGGGGGATTGCTTTGACATTTTTCTTGTGAGCCATTATGTGGTGATTTCTTTTTCGTTTAATTTCCCTGGGCACTGGGAAAAAAAAGTATATGACATTCTGATTTTCAGTGACTTTCAGAGTTCTCTAAATGGTCTCCCAGCCCCCGTGTGACCTGGCCCAGCATTACCTCTCATCTCCTACTATCCACTCCCTCAGTTACTACACTCCAGCCACACATTTCGTGGATGTGCTCCTAATCAAGCCATTGCACTTGCTGTTTCCTTTGCCTGGAATAATCTTTGCTAGGGATACATATGGTTTCTCTCTCCTCTGCACCGAATCTTCACTCAGCTGTCACTACGATGAGGCATTTCTTCCTAGCACTTCTCAACATCTAACATACATACATTTTTACTAACTACCCACCTCACTCCCGAATATAAGCAAGGGTTGGGTTTTTTTTTCTGTTTATTCGCTGCTTTTTTTTTTTTTTCTGATAATTTGGAAGGTTTGTAGTCTGTAGTTCAATTTTTTTTTTTTTTACAACTTTAAGTAACTTCAGTATTTTATTTCTTAAGTTATCACCTATAGACCAGTATCTGCTGATTATGGAGGGAAAAATAAATCCATACGCCTGTTATTTACTCCCATCTCCCAGTTTTCCCCTCTACCACAGGATTCAGATTGAATATATTAGTGGCAGTTGTTAAAAGAATATTATTATTGTTGTTGTTTTTATGACTTTAAATGAATATATCGTGCCAGAATTGTTACTTAGTCCCTCTGCTTTGAATTCATGCCCCTTCCAACATCAAAGAGGAGGAAATCAGGAGACTTCCTTTGCTGCCTCCTTCTGATATTCGTGGTTTTATTATCATTATTTCTACAGTGTCAGGATTTCTAATATTTGCATTCAGTTTTATAACTTAAATCTCCCATTTATTTAAGTTCTATATTTAAATTGATTCAGTGCTCCACCATCCTTTATTTTCATGGATTGATTGGATTTGGTTCCAATGAGCCACCTGTGCACAGTGAGATAAGGGGCTTTTCCACAATGTAAGTTAACACAGTTTCCTTCATTAAGAAAGTCTTGCTAACCGTCCCCCCCCCCCCCAAAAAAAGTCAGCTGAACTAAACGGTGTGTGTAGCGATCTGTGTGATTATATTTTGGTGCAAGTTCACTATTTTCATTGTATATTAGTAATAGTTCGCAGATCAGCACTAGTGCATGGACCACATTTTGAGAAGCACTGTTTACTAGAGCTTAAAACATGGATCCTTGGGCTTCCCTGGTGGCGCAGTGGTTGAGAGTCTGCCTGCCGATGCAGGGGACACGGGTTCATGCCCCGGTCCAGGAAGATCCCACATGCCACAGAGCGGCTGGGCCCGTGAGCCATGGCCGCTGAGCCTGCGTGTCCGGAGCCTGTGCGCCACAATGGGAGAGGCCACAACAGTGAGAGGCCCGCGTACCGCAAAAAAAAAAAAAAAAAAAACATGGATCCTTGACTTTTCAAAGTCTGATATCCTCCTAGGCCCTGCAAGGCCTTAGCCACTTTAACTTCATTATGCCTTTCTCATATATATACTATTATTGTCATGTATATTAGTTCTATATATATTCTAGACTCTACAAGATATTATGTTTTATACAGTGAGTATTGAGATTTACCTTTAGAGTTGGTCTTCATTCTATCCTACATCTCCAGGCTCCCATCTTAGATTATCTTTCTTTTACCTAAAGAAGGCCCTTTAGTATTGTTTAATTTAGATCTGTTGGTAACATAATGTTTATTTTTAAGATTGTTTTATGTTTTAGATTGCTTGAAAGTATCTGGTTCATCTTTACTTTTGAAGGATACTTTCACTGGGTGTACAGTTCTTTCAGGTCTTTGAAGATATTATAATATTAATTAAATATTCTAATATCCTGTGACTGTATATTAACCTTTAAAATTTATCACTCAATAAAAATATTTTTTAGCAGGCTTATGACCAGAAGAACATTAGGCGAAGAGTTTATGATGCTTTAAATGTGTTAATGGCAATGAACATAATTTCAAAGGAAAAAAAAGAAATCAAGTGGATCGGCTTGCCTACCAATTCTGCTCAGGAATGTCAAAACCTGGAGGTAAGTGAGGAAAATCTGTTTACAGATAGTAGTTTGCTTTCTTTTACATCAGAGACATTTTAATTTAGAGATATAGTCACATTGTATTAAAATATTCCTAATGGTTCGTTCGTGTATACTGTGCCCTTTTTTTAGCAGATTCTTCTATGTAGAATTTTAGAACTGGAAGGAGATTTAGAGAGGTGCAGTCTGACTCATGTCCTGATGAAACCGAGGGACAGAGCAATTAAATGACTTGATTTTTACTGTTTTTTGGAGATCTTTATTTTATTCTAATTTCATTCTGAGCACTCTACTAATAAATGTTTGGTGACTCGTGTGATAGAAATGCTGTCTTATTTGATGAAGTGTTTGCTGTATCCATCCAAAAAAATGGATCAAGTTGGCTGTTTATTTCTTGTATTTAACCTTTGAGTCTAGAATCAGTGGCAACAGAATGGTATGGTATTTCATTTGAATCCTTATTGGAATGTTCAGCTTACACGAATTTGTGGATAATGTATGCCAAAACATTGTTTATTCTGTTAAGTTTAATCATTAGACAAAATCTTTCCTAAGTGAGCATGTGTCCTGACATACTATTTCTAAATTGATTTGACATAATTTTACTGTCATGGCCATGAAAGGTAGTAGACCAAGGCTGACTACAGCTTTAGAGGTGAATATGGTTGATTTTGTGGGTTTTTTCGTCCCTTTTTCCCTCCAGCAAATCAAAAATGTTTGGTATTATTACACTTGTGGATGGAGGGAGAAACCAGGCAGTCATCAGAAGTTCTAGGATAATGTTCTTCCTGTGCTACGGTGGATATGTCCTTTTTTCTCCTCCTGATAGACTGAAATTTGAGTGTTATATTAATTAGCAGTAAGACTAAGCCGAAAACAAAGACTCAGTAAGCAGTAATCTATTAGCATCTACCACGTGCTTATACGAGACAAAATCTCTGACCCCAAGGAGCTTTCATACTAATTGAGGAGAGCAGAAATGTAAAAGGAGTTAACCAGAAATGTGATGACTCCTGTGAAAGAAGTATGCACAGATTCTCTGGAAAGGGAGATAAGGGAGGGCTTTACCAAGAAAAAGAAATCCCTGTGTTCAGTCCTGAGGGAGGGGTAGGAGTTTGCCAAGTGGTTTAGGGCAGGGAGGGCTCTCCAGGCAGAGGCACCGCCTGGGCTGAGGCCGGCTGAAGAGGGTGTGCCCGCAGTGGGTGTGGCCAGGGTACAGGCGAGGAGAGAGGGCCTAGGTTTCTGAGTGCTAAAGCTGTAGGGACCTGATCCTATAAACAACCTAAGCTGCTGGAGAATGATAAGGAAGAGAGCTGAGGGCGTGTGTTCTAAAGGGTCACTCTGTTAGTGGGCTGGAAGTTGAACTGACAGGAAGGTGAGGAGGGAAGGTGAGGGCGGGTGGCTTGGAGAGGGGCTGAGTTCTGGCTGTGGCAGTGAGGCTGCAGAAGTGTTTCAGAGGCAGCGTCAGTACAGCTTGGCCTGGCTGGGTGCAGAGCGTGAGGGGCAGATGGGGGCTGCCCTGTCACAGCCTCAGACACGGGGGAATCCCCTGCAGCATCTTTGCAAACGAGGGAGAGCACAGATTTTACAGTGGGTCTTCAGTGTTTTAGGACTCAAGTGTGGTGGTGGTTAGGAGGCACCATGAGAGAAACTCTCGCTGCGGACTAGATGGGGAGCAAACAAGAAAGACGCTGCTTAGTTCCCTGGCGGTCCAGTGGTCAGGACTCGGCGCTCTCACTGCTGTGGTCCCGGCTTCCATCCCTGGTTGGGGAACTGAGATCCTGCAAGCCACGCGGTGCAGCCAAAGCAAGCAAACAAACAAAACATATTTGTGGGACTTCCTTGGTGGTCCAGTGGTTAAGACTCCGCGCTTCTGGTTGGGGAACTAAGATCCTGCATGCCGCAAGGCGCAGCGCCCCCAAAAAGAGAAAAAGAAATACGCTGCTGGAGTAGATAAGAAAAATGTCTTACTAGATGTCGTTGGCTTTTGCCCAAAGACACAGTGAGGAATTCGTCTACAGGAAATTCAGACCCCAATATATGTTTTCTAGGTAGCTGTGAGAGTGAGGAAAATAATAGTTATTTGAAGCTGGGAAATTTGTCCCATAAGCATGTTTCTTACAACAAGTAGGGATTTCGTGTTGAATATGTAGCCTCTCTGTATTAGCAGCTGTGCCTGTTTAAAAGGCAGTTAAACGGAGATCTTAAATGAGATCTTACCTCATTCTTGGCGGTTCATAGAGCAAAGGAATTAATAATAGGGTCTCTGAAACCAGGTGGCTTAGGTTCAAATCCTGGCTGTTGCCACTCACCAGCTGTGTGACCTTGGGCAGTTACTTAACCCTCTCTGTGCCTCCATTTCCTTACTGCAGAAGGGGTAACAGCAGTACTTACCTCTAGGGTTTTGTGAAGACGAATTAAGAGAACATGTGTCCAGGGCTCAGCTGAGTGCTGGCAAGTAGAGTAGGTATTCACCACGTGTTAGCTGTTACTCTGATAAGCGCTTCTGTAATAAATAGCAACAGGTACTGCAGAGCAAGTGTTCACTCAGGGGATGGTTGTCATGATGGCAGTTGCCACAGTTCTGCTGTCTTGCCTGCGTGCTCACCCAAACCCAGAAGGTGTGACTTGCCTTTATTGATGTTCGTAGTTAAAATGGGTTGAGTGTCTCTAAGGAAAATTCTCAATATCTCAGAACTGGGACCTGAAAAGCGAGCAGTACTTTCTACTCTGCATATGTTCATGCTATTTTGTAACCTGTGTTTTAAAGATCGAGAAGCAGAGGCGGATAGAACGGATAAAGCAGAAGCGGGCCCAGCTTCAGGAACTTCTCCTGCAGGTAAAGAAGCGGGAGTGTGTTTCATTACCTTCCCTTCCTGTATTCTGCCCCTCCCCTTACTTGCTTTGAGTCAGTGTTTTCTGCTTTGGGTGCCTTTGAGTATCTGGTGGGGCCTTGCTAGGGCAGCCCTCTGCCACGCCGGAGCTCATCACCGTGCTCACGACCTGCCCGCCCCATCTCTCACCGACATCAGGGGGCCTCACAGCAGCTCTAACGTGGAACATATTATGCAACAGTTTACTTTTGACTCTTACCCTTACTCTGAACAGAAATTATTTTAGCCCTAATTTGGAACATCAAGGAGTGAGGCTAGTTAAATTTTAGGCGCTTTGAGTAAAATAATCTAATCCACCTGTAATACTTATTATCTGTAAGTGACATTATAACATAATAAGCTTTGTGGAAATACCAAAACTTAAAATGCATTTCTGTTTAGGAAAATTAAATTTTACAGTGTAATGAGGATCCCTGTATTTATGCTTTTTTTTTTGATAACTGTCTAGAATCTGTGTAATTAAAAAACTATATTGTAGAGGCCTTGTATAAAATCATGTGAGGTAAAATCACAGGGTAGATGGACCTTTTTTTTTTTTTCTATTTTTGGTAATTGGCAGTTGGTGTAAAAATTGACTTTGAGCAGTACAGCGAGTCATTTTCAGTCCAATCAGAAAAATTTTATAAAATGAGCCAGCGAGTCTTTATAACTTTTGTTTTTAATCAGCAAATTATCTTTATATGAAAAGCTTTCAACCAATCATGAAATCCATGTGGATTTGAACAACCATAGGTCCTATTTCACTTTTGGTGTAATCTACTTTTCAGAAATAAAAGAAGCAATAAATTACCAAATAATGGTAACATTTTTTCCCCCCTAAAATACTCACTTTGTCTCATGGACAGAATAGGTTAAGTATTCCTACATGTTCCAGATTTTTGTTTTTCACTTTCTAGACGTGTATTTCTTTTTCTTTGTTTGTTTGTTTTTCACATTTTATGTACACATCAGAGGGGAAGGAGAAAACCGCTAGCCCTTCCACAGCTGTGTGTGGTCTGGAAAGGAAGGAGGGGAGGAAGCGGGGCAGGGGAGACGGGACAGAGGCTCCCGCGACACAGGCAGCCCCGCCAAGATGTTCCCTCCTCATTAGGCACCGCCTTCTTGCTGCCCTGCGTCTGCAGCTCACACTGGCCCCTATGGGAACTACCTCTGGAGCAGGCGTCTTACGTATTTTTCATACTGGATTTCCAAAGTAGGCTTTGTTGGAAGAGAGCATTCTGCAGCTTAAAAGAAGAACAAAACTTGAAAGCTGACAGTTTTTTCCTGTGCTGCTCCCCGTACAGTTCTGCCTGCTGAGAGACCTGGCCTACCTCGCCGCCACCTTCGCCGGCTGCCTCTCTGTCATCCTTGTCCCTGCAGCATCTGCAGTATTTCCCTCCCAGCTCACAGAGCCTGAAACCCTGTGCTAGGCCTTTCTCACATTTCCTCAAAACCCTCATGGAGGGCTTCCCTGGTGGCGCAGTGGTTGGGAGTCCGTCTGCCTATGCAGGGGACATGGGTTCGTGCCCCGGTCCGTGAAGATCCCACGTGCCGCGGAGTGGCTGGGCCTGTGAGCCATGGCCGCTGAGCCTGCGTGTCCGGAGCCTGTGCTCCGCGGCGGGAGAGGCCACAAACAACAGTGAGAGACACATGTACCGCAAAAAAAAAAACAAACCCTCATGGAACATTTTGGAGCTTGATTTTTGGCATATGTTATAAAAACCTGTTTATCAGTATGCCTGTAATTATCTGTTTATCAGAAAGACTTGCACTGGGCAAAATCGTCCTCATGTATGTGGTGCTTTCCCATCCCTAGATGGCCAGCACAGAGGATGAACTGGAATATGTTTTCCCCTGCTTATCTTTATACAATGAACATTGCTTTTTTTTTTTTTTAAGTCCTGAGTTTCTTTTCCTCTACTGTCTCTCAAAGTAAATGTTTATGGAAGATTTCAACCCAGGCACAACCTAGCTGTCAACATTTATAAAAGCAAAGTCTCTCTGAACATTAAAATGAAACCCCAAGTATAACGTCTAATCTTCTGGTAGACATATAGCTTATTTCTTCCTCGTAAAATTAAGCAAGTTGTCCCTAAACAGGAAAAATTTGTCTCTCTGCGGCTAAGCTAGCTTAATTTTTTTTTAACAAGTTAAGGTCACAGCTACTGACATCACATGACCCAGGTCACTTTTACTTACATGGCACCACTTCTCTTTCGTCCTTGGTGATGTGGGAGAGGAATGGTGTGAGTAGATTCTGCCTACAGATAATCTAGATGCCCTACTTTTGTCTGTATCATTGTCCCTTCCAGCCAGTATATCTTCTCCAGAGTTACTAATGCAGGGCACAATGAATGTCTGAATACACCTGAAGCTGCGTAGCCTCTGAAATAGATGTTAATGAACCTGGAAAAGAGCAAAAGGCTGAAGGAAGTCAAAGGGCAACAAATAAGGAAATCAGTCCAAAACAAACGGGAAATGATTTTTCTTTTTTACTATCCAAATAACTTTATATCTGTGTTCACAGTGCTTTGCACAAGAAAAATCTTTTTTTTTTTTTTTTTTTTTTTGCGGTACGCGGGCCTCTCACTGTTGTGGCCTCTCCCGTTGCGGAGCACAGGCTCCGGACGCGCAGGCTCAGCGGCCATGGCTCACGGGCACAGCCGCTCCGTGGCATGTGGGATCTTCCCGGACCGGGGCACGAACCCGTGTCCCCTGCACCGGCAGGCGGACTCTCAACCACTGCGCCACCAGGGAAGCCCAAGAAAAATCTTTGATGCTATTAAATGTACACAGTATTTAACAGTGAATCATACATATATAAGAGCTTTTACTTACCGCTGTTTATATTCCACCCTCTACCGAGGCCCTCCCATGGCACTAGGACCACAAAGCTAGGAAGAGTATGGGGGTGTCTCCAAGATGCTTTTTCTAGAAGAGTAAGGAAGCTAGGCAGAAGTATTCAAACATATAATTCTTTTTCCCAGTTTTACAGTTTCAGCATATTTTTCCTCTATTAAGTGAACTAAGCATTAAATATAAAATAGCCTTAGTTCGTTAGCAGCAGCAGAGAACAAATTAATAAGTATGACTTAAGTAATGTTTGGTAATGAATGGTGTTGACAGTGATGGTTCTGGACACACTGTCAGGGCTAGAATAAATTGGTTTCCCTTCTGTTCCGTGCATTTTAAAAGAGTAAATGTTTACTTTCTAGGGAGATAGCACCCAGCCATTTTAAGATGACAGTAATCTTAATCAAGCTTCAGTTAAGGCCCAGGACCTAAAATAAACACTCGTAGGATAAGGTTGCTAAAACATAGAAAATAATTTAAATGCATCACTACTGGGTGAGAAGAGGGAAGACGCTGATGGAAGGGTCGAAAGGCTGTGACTTCAGGAGCTTTTTAAGCCAGTATCTGTTCCACGGGCAGATGAAAGACTTCGGCTGCGTAAGGCCTTTCTAGCTGTGGAATTCTGAGATACGTTTGCCTTATTTAAAGGGGGATGGGGGGCTTCCCTGGTGGCACAGAGGTTGAGAATCCACCTGCCAATGCAGGGGACACGGGTCCGATCCCTGGTCCGGGAAGATCCCACACACCGCAGAGCAGCTAAGCCTGTGCGCCACAACTACCGAGCCTGTGCTCTAGAGCCCGCGAGCCACAACTACTGAGCCCACGTGCCGCAACTACTGAAGCCCGTGCGCCTAAAGCCCGTGCTCTGCAACAAGAGAAGCCACCACAATGAGAAGCCCACGCACTGCAACGAAGACCCAACACAGCCAAAAATAAATGAATAAAATAAAATTTTTAAATAAATAAAATAAAAGGGGGTGGCAGGGTCTCTTTCTTTGACTTTTGATTAATAACTTTTGATTAATAACTTTTTTTAATAACTTAAAAGTAGCAGCAAAATTCATTGTAAAGATTCAGGCCTTATATACCTTATAATCAATGCTAAGCCTCAGTTCCCTCATCTGGAAGATATCAGGTGGGGAGGGGCTTGGACCAGATTCCAAACTGTGCCCTGAAGATGCTTAGAAGTTCTGTGAAGGAACTAAGCGGTGAATGAGGGCAGAGCTGGCAGGACTCAGGACTCAGCCCCAGTGCAGCCAGCCAGAGCAAGGATGCTTTCATCTGTTTTATAAACAGTGGATGTCCCAGAAGATTTCAGTTGAAGAAAGCATTCTGTGGCTTTATAAAGTTTGCATATTTCTGGGCTAGACAATCTAAGGGGCATATTTTTAACCCTAAACTCTCAGGAGTCTGTGTTAGATAAACACTGTATCTGTTGCTGTATCACTCTAAGAAGAGTTGTAGGTGCCACTGGCTCTCCCAGATTTGTCAGATCCTGTTTCTGTGCTTGATGGAAACCATGGGTCCCATTTTTTGTATTAGGATATGTTAGACACCATTTAAATGTATATTTTTTCCCTCGAAATATATTTATTGAGTTGGATCATTCTAATCTTTTTTCTTAAATGTTTAATTTTAATAAACTCGTAGGTGAAGAGCCTCTTTAAATGCTCTAATTTTAAACTATATTTTAAATGTATTTAATTCATTTAGTTCCAACTCACTTATCCACGTCAAATAACTATATGGGTAATTTTGTTGATCATTACAGCAAATCGCTTTCAAAAACCTGGTACAGAGAAATCGACAAAACGAACAGCAGAGCCAGGGCCCTCCAGCTCTGAACTCCACCATTCAGCTGCCATTTATAATCATCAATACAAGCAGAAAAACAGTCATAGACTGCAGCATCTCAAGTGACAAGTAAGTGGAGAACCAGCGGCAGAGGGCAGGGCTGACCTTCTGTTAACCTGATTCCTATCATTTGCAAAATAAAGAAGGTTGTACCCATTATCTGAGCGCACCAAGGCTAACTTCCTTGGGGCTCATGAAACAGCTTTTCAGACGTGGAGTGCTGTCGTCTACTAGCGCTTGCTTCCACATTCACCCTCCGCAGGCCCCTCTCTTGAGCCTGGCACTGTGCTGCCAGTGCTACAGGCATACTGGTGCCCAAGTCAGGATGTGCACATATGTACACGTATGTGGCATAAGTCTGGGCAAGTCACTGCGGTAAAGTAGAGCTTCACTGGGGTCTGGGACAAGGTAGGTTCACTAGTGATTACTGTCATCATTTATGGTGGAAATAGTTGAGATCAACATGCGGCACTAAGGCAGTTGTTTGTTTTGCTATATCATATTTGAGTGTGCTTCTGTTTATAATGAATGAATAGACATGAAAGTGCTAGATGCATTCTCTGCTTGCTTGCTTTCCTATTATCTTATAACTTGAAGTTTGTCCTTTTTATGACCTTCATTCATTTTACTCACCCCCAGCCTCTGGCAACCACCAGTCTGTTCTCTGCATCTATAAGTTTGGTTTTTAAGATCCACATATAAGGTCCATCATCCATGTTATTGCAAATGGCAGAATTTCCTCTTTTTTTATGGCTGAATATTCCATTTTCTAAGTACACCACATTTTCTTTATCCACCCATCCGATGATGGACACAGGTTGTTTCCATGCCTCAGCTATTATAAATCATGCTGCAATCAGTGAACATGGGAGTACAGATATCTTTTCAGGATAGTTATTTCATTTCCTTTAGACATATACCCAGAAGTGGGATTGCTGGATCATACGATAGTTCTATTCTTAATTTTTTGAGAAACCTCCATACTGTTTTCCAGTGGCTGCACCAGTTTACATTCCCACCAGCATGTTTTTCACCTTAACTAAGATTGATGGCAATATTTATCATAGTAAGTGAGAAATAGCAGTTTTCAAAATACAGAATTTATTTGTAACTTATTTTACCCTTCATGAAAACAGTAGTGGTCTTCAGGCTGTGACCAGTATCGAGGTCGTTAAGGGCATAGGGTGCAGAGTGAGGCAGACACAAGTGTGGGTTGTGGCTCCCCCATTTAACTGCTTCAAAGCTCTGTGTCCAAAGAACAGATGGGGATGATGCCAGGGCCTCTGTCACTTCCTTAGCCTTGTTGTGAGGATTAAATAAGATTATGCCTCTAAGAGGTCTGAGTCATGGAAAGTGCTTTGTAAATATTAGCTACTTTTCCAAGGAGTCAGCATATAACTTATCGTCCAAATTTGGGACACGCTTGAGAGCAAAAGAGGGCTCAGTAACCACATCAGTGCCAGAGGCATAGCCTAGGACTGTCCTGGGGACTGGAACTTCTAGCCTCTTAGAGCTACTGCATCACCGTGGGGCTTTACCATTCCTGGTTTTTCCCACTCTTTTCTCTGGCAGTGTTGCTTCCCTGTCTTGACTGCATACAGAGATTATGGGTCACTTAAATACGAAGGAACCCAAAAAAAGAAGAGTAAGAGAAACGACAGGGATTTCTAGAGTATTTGGTAATTAAGCCTATAGACCCAAGTAGAAATAGTAGGGACCGTGCAGGCTGTGATATCAGAAGATGCCTTTTTCAGTCTTTCCTCTAGTTGTATAGTTTCTTAACTTCTCGGAGATCTCATTTCTTCCTCTGTAAAAACAAGAATTATAGTATTTAACTTGCTGGTTTACAGACGTTAAATTCATAAAAGACCAGCCCAAATGGTAGATGTATTATTATTCACACACTTAAAATTCTTTACAGAATCATGTGTCTACAAGGACTTGTCACATATTCTCATAAATCTGAGAATTCTAGAGAATGGTTAACATATTTTCGGGAAAAACTGTTAGAATTCTAGTTATTCTCTCTAGTTAGTCTCTTGTTTTGTGGGAAATCATTAAAATTCTCTTCTTTGGTTAATCTTTGAGGTCTAAAAGAGCAGCAGGAAAGTGTGGGGACCAGAGACCTAAGGGAATTAGGGATTCTTGTCCTTCTTGGGTGGTTACTGATCGTGCCCTTTCCTCTCCCTCCCCTGAGTGGAGGAAAGGAGGCTCTGAGCTGCTTGTAGGAGCTTGTTATTCAAGGCGGGGTGCAAAAGCCTGGTCTTTCAGTTACTTTGGTGATACAGTCCTTTCCCCTTAGCCAGGAGGCTTTCCCACAATGATGATTACATTTACGAAACCTTCAGCTTTTAACGTATGCCTGAAGTCACCCCTGGGGCAGGCATCCACTCCAGATTTTGTGTGGTTTCTTTTTTTTCTGAATTTCTGTTAATGTACTTATTTAAATTCATATACTTCAAATTACTTAAATGTGGCATTTTGCTTTAAATTATAAATTTTGCCCTTAAGATCTAGCATAAAAAGTTTTACCCTTGCGTGATTTTAATAGAATTTCATGACAACGTAAGCCCACCGCTGTCCCAGAACTTCGCCTGCACTCTGTCCCTGAGGGGCTGAGGCTCTGGGTGATGGTGCCCCAGGGCATAGCCTGGGAGTCAGATGGACTGTTTCTTCTTACAGTCACCTCTTTATTGAAAGCCTGTGCCAGGCAGCTGGGCATCCTGATTTGGTACTTTACAGAAACGTTCGGAAACGTGCTATGTGTTATATACGACACTTTTTTCTTGTGGCGTTTTTACTCCTTAGGCCCTCAAGACAGGATTTGGGGGTTGGTTAGTTTGTGAAAAGTCTTCCATTTTCTGCTCATCTGAGGTATGGTGTAGCTAACACTTGACTCATGAAAATGAAGTAAGCATCCAACATGCTTTTTCCTCAACCCTAGTTAGGCCAACTCATAGTAGGAAAGTTAGATATTAAATTGGAAAGGCTTTCTTTGCGTTATTTTTTGGTTAATGACTGCTTGCTTTATTTGTTTTTATTGAAGTATAGTTGACATACAATGTTATGTTAGTTTCAGGTGTACAACATAGGGATTTGACACTTGCATCCATTACAAAATGATCACCGTGATAAGTCTAGTCCGTACAAACTTATTACAATATTATTGACCATATTCCTTATGCTATATATTATATCCCCGTGGCTTATTTTATAATTGGAGGTTTGTACCTTTTAATCCCCTTCACTTATTTCACCCACCACCTTCAGCCCCTCCCATCTGGCAACCGACCACCCATTTGTTCTCTATGAATCTATTTTTATTTGTTTCATTTTTTAGATTCCACATATAAGTGAGATCATATGATATTTGTCTTTCTCTGCCTGGCTTAATTTCATTTAGCGTAATACCCTCTAGATCTCTCCATGTTGTCGCAAACAGCAAGGTTTCTTTTTTTTTTTTTTTAATGGCTGACTAGGAATATTCCTCTGTGTTTGTGTGTGTGCGTGTGTGTGTGTGTACATACCACATCTTTATTCGTTCATCTATTGATGGACGCTTCAGTTGCTTCCATATCATGGCTATTGTAAATAATGCTTCAGTGAACATTGGGTGTGCACTTTATGTTTCTGAATTAGTGTTTTTGTTTTCTTCAGGTAAATACCTAGAAGTGGAATTGCTAGATAGTATGGTAGTTCTATTTTTAATTTTTTGAGGAAACCTCCATAACTATTTTCCATAGTGGCTGCACCAGTTTACACTCCCAGCAGCAGTGCACAAGGGATCCCTTTTCTCCACACCCTCTCCAGCATTTGTTATTTGTTGTCTTTTGGATGATGGCCATTCTGACAGGTGTGAGGTGATATCTTATTGTGGTTTTGATTTGCATTTCCCTGATGATTAGCGATGTTGAGCATCTTTTCATGTGTCTTTTGGCCACCTGTATATCTACTTTGGAAAAATGCCTACATGGGAAGGCTTCCTTAATATTTTATCTTTTGTGACAAAGTTATAGACATCTTTGAAAAGCATTAGATTTAGACCAAAATTTCTGTCTCCAGTTTGCCACGGCTTAATGAGGGCTGAAATTTGTGGACTCCTGTTGTCTGTCACAGGAAAGGTGTTTTAATTGGCAAGTGGTTTGAGATGTCATTCTTCTGAACCCAGCAGAATGACTCATTGCCCTAAACGGTAACAATTTCTAGTACTGTAGCTGAGCTTAGGTCCTCATTCTTTTATTGAATATGCAGAGTACAAAACTATTCAGACCTCCCCAATACCGCAGAAAACCCCACACTAACTTTGTTTCCTGATGCAGGTTTGAATATCTTTTTAATTTTGACAATACCTTTGAGATTCATGATGACATAGAAGTGCTGAAGCGGATGGGAATGTCCTTTGGCCTGGAGTCAGGCAAATGCTCCTTGGAGGATCTGAAACTTGCTAAATCACTGGTGCCAAAGGCTTTAGAAGGTTATATCACAGGTATGTTAACTCATGCTTTTTCAGTGTTGTCCTTGATTAAATGTCAGACCCTAACTTGCTAAAAACCTTTCTCATAGAATATTAAAGCCCACACTGTATGCCCGTCCTCAGTTCTGTGCCCTTCCCTACCCTAAAATGTAACCTCCTTGAATTTCTTGTTTATCACTACTTGCTTTTCTTTAGAGACACAAACACAAACAAATATAGTAAGCTGGAAACAATTTATTAGTTTTGCCTAATTCTCACCTTTACATAAATAGGATCACAGTGATATATTCTTTTGTGATTTGACTCTTTTCGCTCAACATCATGTTCTTTAGATTTGCCCACATGATTTTTTCATATAGCTGTAATTGATGCATTTTTACATAGAATTCTTGTATGCATAGAATTCTAGTATGTGGGTAAAGCACAATTTATGTGTTCATTTTACTGATCATAAACCTTTAGTTTTGTCTCCAGTCTCTTGATATTTAAACAGTGCTGCTTCGAACATCCCCGTAACTGTATCCTGGTGACTGTGTGCAAGTGTATAGAGTGAGATTGCTGGGTTTGCAGAGTCGGGTGCATCTTCATCTTTACTAGATGATGCCACAGCTTTCCAATTTGATTTTGCCAAGTTACACTCTCACCTGCAGAGTGAAAGAGTTTTATCTTCCCAGGCAGGTGGATGTGAAATGGTATTGTAATTTTTTAAAATTGAGATTTAATTCATGTACCATTAATACACCATTTTTTTAAAAAATTTATTTATTTTTGGCTGCATTGGGTCTTTGGTGCTGCGCGCGGGCTTTCTGTAGTTGGGGCGAGCAGGGCTACTCTTCGTTGCTGTGTGTGGACTTCTCATTGCGGTGGCTTCTCTTGTTGCAGAGCACGGGCTCCAGGCACACGGGCTCGGTAGTCGTGGCTCACAGGCTCAATAGTTGTGGTGTGCAGGCTTAGTTGCTCCGCGGCATGCGGGATCTTCCCAGACCAGGGCTTGAACCCGTGTCCCCTGCATTGGCAGGCGGATTCTTAACCACTGCGCCACCAGGGAAGCCCAAAATACACCATTTTAAAGTGTACAATTCAGTGGTTTTAAGTGTATTCACAGGGTTATTATGCAGTCATCACCAACCATTATCTCATTCTAAAATGTCTTATCACCCCAAAAAGAAACCCCACATACACTAGCAGTCACCCTTTATTCCTCCTTTCCTCCTGGCTCCTGGCAACCACTAATCTACTTCCTGTCACTGTGGATTTGTCCATTCTGGACCTCTCATATAAGTGGAATCATATCATATGTAGCCTTGGTGACTGACTTCTTTCACTTAGTGTAATGTTTTCAAGATTCATCCATCCTGCTTCATCCCTTTTTATTGCCGTTTTGTGGATATACCACATTTTTTAAATCCATTTGTTAGTTGGAGGACATTGGGATTGTTTTCAGTTTTTAGCTATTATGAATGATGTTGCTATAAAATCATTCTTGTACATGTTTTTTTATGAACGTAAGCTTTTGGTTCTGTTGGGTGTATGCCAAGCGGTGGAACTGCTGGGTCATATGATAAACTGTATTTAACATTCTGAGGAACTGCCAAACTATTTTCCAAAGCAGTTGTACTGGTTTACAATCCTACCAGCAATGTACCAGGGTTCTGATTTCTCCATAACCTTCTCCATGCTTGTTCATCTTTTTTATCGCAACCATCCTGGTGGATGTAAAGTGGTGTTTCACGGTGGTTTCAATTTGCATTTTCCTTATGACTGATGATGGTGAGCATCTTCTCATGTGTTTACTGGCGATTTGTATATCTTCCTTGTAGAAATGTCTATTCAGATCCTTTGCCCATTTTTAAATTGGGGTGCTTTATTTTAAGAGTATAGTGAGTGTACTTGAAAATGGAAACACTATGTTTTGCATGTTCTAAATTTCAGATTTTCACTAATTCAGAAATCTTTATGATTGTCCTAGTTCCTAAGACTGTGGTATATTCTGCACATATAATTTGGATGTATAGACAAAAGCATTCTTTTGCCTTTGCTTTTGCCAGTTTCCTTCATTTATAAGCATTACTACCTAGAACTAATATTAAAATGCCTTTAAAACATGATGAGAAATTCTAAAGTATATTAAGTCAAATATAAGCAAAGAGGTAGTTTTTATTTTATTTTATGGTTTTGGCCCTTTAGTCACAACACAAGAGCCTGTTGATTGAGATTTGGTTTCTGTTGGATTTAGTTCTTAAGTTCGCACCACCCGCCTCCTGCAAATGTGACCCCCTCTTCTTGCCCCTCAGCGACCCAGTCCCCCATCCTCACCCCGACCCGCTCCGTGCTCCCTCCAGAGAAGGACCTCCTGTTTTATTAGCAGCTCAGGCATCCTAGACGTCCAGCAGGGTCTGCATAAAGCTCTTACTCCATAAATCACCAGGACTTTATTTTAGCTTATTCTCAGTGAAAAGACTCAGGGCGATTAGGCGGGCTCTGTGGCTTTGATCTCTGTGACCTTGTTTGCAGACTGGGATACAGACTTTCAGGTTAGTTCAGAAGCAGAAGCGTGTGTGCCTTCAGTATGTGGAGGGACAGGGTGGCTCTTGAGGAGGGTTGTGAGAACCATTGTGTGGGTCCTAGGAAAGAAAGAAATGTTGGCTTTTCAGAGCCATTGTGAAAAGAAAATGTGTCAAGAGCTGTGTTCTGGCAGAAGGTTTCCATACATACTGATTGATAACACTTAGCACAGGATTCTGGCTTTAATTTCATTATGTACGGACTTGTCCTTATTGTATGCGTTTAAAGTCTACTCCTCTTCTTAGAATTGAAGGGTTTTTGTTGTTGGTTTTTTCCCCACAGCTGCCTTAGTTCACCTGTGAAGAAAAGATCCACAAGGCCATCTTAAAATGAATGTAGTCATTTAGTTTACTTTTTTCCTATGTGGGAAGCCTCTCACTTGGTCAGGTAGCGCCAGGATAGTGGAGTTTCCAATCCCAGTACACAGTTTCTTTTCCTTTTTGCACAGTGATTATAAAACTGTTTTGATTAAGTATAATAAAAGCTCATTTGGCAAATTACACTTTCTCAGCATACACTTGGTCTTATCTCACAACGTAAGTCAAATAAGTTTCTTTTTTAGGAATGCATTTCTGCTGTACCTCCCACCTGTGTTGTAAACTCACCGTTGAAAGAGACGATACTCCTTCGTGCGGTAACACTTAGATCTCAGATGTTCCTCTCACTGCCTTCTCTGAGCTAACATTCTAGATAAGGAGACAAGGGTTAAACAAGTCGAAGTACAATAAGAATTGGTCAAGGTCGTGATAGGAGAACTATGGTAAATGCATAGAAAATGAGATTGCAAGGATGTAGCCAAAATATTCCATACAGACTAAAACAGCAACGCCTGTCTCGCCCTCGTGAAAAACGCGACTGTGCGTGGCCTTTTAAAATAAGGTCTAGGGCTTCCCTGGTGGCGCAGTGGTTGAGAGTCCGCCTGCCGATGCAGGGGACACGGGTTCGTGCCCCGGTCCGGGAAGATCCCACGTGCCGCGGAGCGGCTGGGCCCGTGAGCCACGGCCGGTGAGCCTGCGCGTCCGGAGCCTGTGCTCCGCGACGGGAGAGGCCACGGCAGTGAGAGAGAGGCCCGCGTACCGCAAAAAAAAAAAAAAAAAAGTTAAAATAAGGTCTAGTTCAAGTTGTAAAGCAGAGGGTACCAGGAAGAAGACTAGGCCTCTGGTGCCTAATAGCACTGAGTTCCCGGGGGGCACGAGAGGACGGCGTGCTGGGGGCCTTGGGCAAAAAGGTGTCTGTCCTTCTGGCCTAAGACATTGCGACTTGACTTTGTCTGCACCCACTCGTGCTCGGCTTGTTAACAGCCCGGCCAGAGGCTTTTGTGCTGAGTCCGGCGGGTGTCCAGGAGAAGTACAGCCCTCACTGTACTGCGTGAGCTGCGCTCTCGAGGTCTTCTGTAAGAAAAAAGAATGAAAAGAGTCTGTGATTGGTTTAATTTGAATTCTTTCCTGCTGTAGTCTGCCTTCCTGTATTTTCCTCTCCCCCACCCCCCACTCTTATGTTCTAGAAATTTCTTTTTTCCAAGCTGAAGAAACCTGGGTTCTTCCGAGGGCAGGAGACTCGTCCGGCTGTAATTTAGAACAGGCCGATGGCCTTACTTGTCTGTGTTTTCTTCACGCCATAATAAAAGCAGCCACGGAACTTACAGAGCTGCCATCTGTTTTTGTTTTTCCCTGTAGATATCTCCACAGGACCGTCGTGGTTAAATCAGGGACTGCTTTTGAACTCTACCCAGTCAGTTTCAAACTTAGACCTGACCGCTGGTGCCACCTTGTCCCAATCAAGGTACGTATTTTTTCAGGGTGAGAAGGGCGAGCCGCGAAGCCCTGACCCTCCCTGGAGGGGAGAGCCAGCGTGCTGCGCCGGCCGGCCAGCCGGGTCCCAAGCAGCTCCGGCAGGGCTGGCCAGCGGCTCCCCGCTTCCCCGGGTTCCTTTCCCTGTGTTCTCCAAAGCTTAAGACAGCCACCACGTTAATGAGCCTGTGTGTTTTCAATTGTTTGCTAGTGCAAACCAAGGGTTGTGCTTGGATGCTGAAGTGGCCTTAGCAACGGGGCGGCTCCTGGCCGCAGACACTCACCGGTCCGGCAGTGCGGCCTCCCACTGCTCTGAGTCCCGAGGCGAGACCCCCTGTTCCCTCAACGACGAGGACGAGGACGAGGATGAGGAGGACTCCTCCTCCCCAGAATAAAGACAGGCGCAGACCCACGTTCTGCTCTTTGATGCTCATGTGTGTTTTTAGTGTGAGCTCTTGTGTTTGAAACGATTGCTTCGGTCTTTGCCTTTGTTTGCACTGTGTGTTCAGTGAAAACTAGGGAAACACAATAAGCAAATTACCTGAAGGCTGAGAGGATTGAGGTGAAAGTTAACCGTAGTGTGAATGAAAACCCTGAACGACAGAGCGGTAGATCACATGGCAAACAAAGCACGTACTCGGAGGTGGCAGAGGGGATAGTCCCTGACTTGGCAGCACGAACGCAGCGCATTTATCTTCCGTGAGGCGGGGCGCCGTGGCCCCCAAACCCACGCAGCCCTCCTTATTGCCGAGGTGGCTCCATGAACAGTCCCCGACGGCCGTGTGCCCCACGCCCCGCTCCCTGCTCTGGGCTGCCTTTCACGAGGCGGAGCTGAACGCGAGAGGTTCCCGGTGGGAGGAGCTGTACAGCGAGGGATGGAGACCCTCGTGGCCCAAGGAGCACAGATTGAACCGCTGAACTAGTTGAAAGTCTAGTCGAGGTGCTTTACGCATCAGCTGCCTTAGACGGCTTCTAGAAAGGAGCGAACGCTAATTCTTGAGTACTTAAGTGACATTTAGAATAATTTATAGTCAAACTGAAATGATCACTATTAGCCAATGCATTGGTGCATAGAATTTTCTAGGGCTACTTCTGGAAGCCAAAATAATAGAATAGCATTTCCACGTGCATTAAATACTTTGCCAGCACTGCCTTTCGCCAGCAACCTAAATCTGGAGTTTTACAAGAGAAGAAAATTGTCTCTATCGTTTTCATCAGAGCTATGCATTTCATACCGCTTTTTCACCTAGAACAAAACAAAGGAACAAGTCCCTATGACCGAGTTGCTTGCTTACAAGTTCCCTGCCATAATTGTATGATTTCACCCTGTGTGCAGTTTGTGAAAATGAACCGTCATTACTTTTGTCTGAAAAGTATTTCCAGAATACGAACAGCAATGTTTTCCTGTCCATGTCACCTTTGGTACATTCTCATTCATCAAAATGACCGTATTGGGTTGATTCCTGGGTCAAACGCATTTCAAACTCACCCGATATTCAGTGTTTCACAAAAACACCAAAAAACATTGAGCACTCCAGGTGACTGGGTGTGCATAGATCAGGACACAGACTGTCAGGTCAGAGCCAAAGATGCCGCTAGGAACCGCGCACTGCTGGGTTCAATTCCCGCCCCTCTGAATACGAGTGTGGAGACACTGCCACCACAGCCAAACCCCGACCTAAGCGCACATTAGTTAAGGCCTTGGAAAGGAGCAAACGATAATGTAAGATTAAATCTCTGACTTGAATCATTTGGATTTGCCCCGAGATTATGCATCCAGCGTCTGTGGGCTCAGCGCCGAGCTCAGCCCAAACCGGCTCTTTCCTAGGCCCCTCGGGGGAGCGTGGGAGCCGGTGCCCACAGTGAGCCAGCGGGGAAGGGCCTGGCTGACCCAAACAACCAGTACACAAGGATGTACAACTCTTAAGTAAGTTCCTTTGAGACAAAACGCATTCCATCAGGAATAAGCCATAGCGCAGACTCAGAGAGGTGGAGGCAGGTGCCGGAGGGCCCCGCAGCAGCCTGAGTTCCGGGCCACCCTGAGGCCGGGGTGGGCGCGGGAGGGAGGGCCCGAGGGCCTCCAGGGCACGTTCTGCAAAACCGGGTCTCCTTTAGGCTGCCTCTCCCTCTCCCAAGCCCAACTTTTCTTGCCCCTGTACTTGAAAGGGGCCCAGCGGGGACCTGGAGAGGCCCAGGGCCACAGCGGGCTTTTCAGACTTCAGAATACCATGCCACAGGTCCCAGGGCCGCACATCAGCGTTCATGACAGGTACACCGATCGTGAGCACTCCTCTACCAGGTAGCAGGATCCTTGCCAGAGTTCGTGGGGCACCGATCCCTTCCCTTCTCTCTTCTCTCTCTGCTGCTGATAAAATATGGGTTTAAAAGAAAAAGCAACCAAAGACTCTTACCATTCACTACTGGTGCCCCATCAGTGGCCACCGCAGCCAGCGAGCAGTGTGTGGTGTTTGTTTGGCAGGAAGTGACCTCCGTTCCTCAGTGACACACTTGGGTTACTGCTGAGGACGCCCAACAGAGTCACACTGTGGTCACAGGACGCGTCACTGGTGTAAGGCTTTACCTGAGCAGAAAGCTAGACTCGGATGTTTAGAAAGAGAAATTCTGTCATTCTTCTGCTTCTCCCCTAAACAGATTTATGTGGTTCTAAAGTTCATTACTCAGTCACAATTTCATATAGAAATCAAACAGAAAAAAAAAAAAAAAAAAAAGGAAATTGTGGTTACAACATCCAGGCTTCTCTATAGGAGTAGCACTTGGGGTTATTTGCACGTGCACATGTACACACACACGCGGACGCCCCTCCCAGAGGGTGCTGGTTACACTCTGCTTGGGGGAAGTTCGAGTCCCCTTTTCCCTCAAGCGCCAGTGTATGCGGTAACCTTTCCGGTGCACGGTGTCGCCCAGTCAGTGAAGTCGTGATCCGTTTAGCACCCGCGCAGGTGGCACCAGGCCTGCTGTCTTTGGCCCTGATGTGGGAGGGTCCAGGCAGTGCCCACGGCGCCCAGGCAGCCACCCACACTTCCTGCCCTTCCCCGCTGCGCATCTGGTCTGACCCGCTTCATTTTCTCCTGTGATGACAAGGTGATGGGAGCAGCTTCAGTAAGTGTTGGCATAAACTGTGCCTTATGATCACGGAGGACCTCGGGGAGGGGCCAGGAAAGGAGGTGCTGAGATGGTGATTCCTCACCTCTCAGCGCTGCCTGCCCCCCTGCAAAACGTTACAAACGACCCCCGTCTTCTAGAAATGGTGGGGAGAAAACTGTCTGCAGTTGGCTGCCATTTTACCAGGATAAAGAGGATAACTCTCTTCGTTAACAGAATTTACAGTTGTCACCATACTCTGCCCTACCTGAAAAATGATGCCGGGGTCAGCCCCCAGGTACGCATGAACCCCTGCAGGTAATTCAAGCAGAGAGAATTCCACAAAGGAGTGGCTCACTTTAGCCATGCAGACATCAGAAACTCGGCTGTTTGCTAAAACACAGCCCTTTCTGGGCTGCTCAGGTTGTAGAGACAGCAAAGCTTGGGTGTTACCTGGGCCCTGGGACGGTCAGAGCCTAGTGGGCATGGGTGGGGCAGGGTTAGCAAAGGAAGGGAACTGCCTCAGCTCTTCCTACAAGAACCACACACAGCGGGAGAAGCCTGGTTAGCTTCATGGGTGAGTCACTTCAGGTGGCCTTTAATACCTCGCCAGGCCCCCCCGCCTCGGGCACGTCTGTGAGGTAGCCTTTAAGGCTGCACTGCTGCAGTGGTCCCTGCAAGGTAGGGGCTGGACAGTGAATGGGAAGATTTAATCCTTCAGTAAGTGTTTGAGTGAATACAGAACAGAAGACGTTCAGGTTGATTCGTGCTATGGAAAAAATGACAGGGTCAGTGGGGGAAAGGCTACTTTGGCTGGCGGTGTCCGGGAAGGCCCCCTGAGAAAGTGACTTTTGTTCTGAATCAGGCAATTCAAAGACCTCCCTACCAGGCCACCCTACCCCATAACGTGCACTTGGAAATCTCTGCTAAATTCCAAAGGCCCCACTCTTCCAGCTTTCAGTGTACATTTTGGAGTCTGTCGGGGAATTTCTAAGATTTATTAATAAAAGAAAACCAAACTTAGCTACCAGCAGTAGCCATAAACTAAGAGAACATTCTAACCCATGGAGGTCTCCTTGCTGGCTCTGTTACCTTCCAACTGAACCTACACAATAGGAAAGTGAGTAGATAATGGAGAACTTTTCTAGGTGTTTTCTTCTAGTTTTACAAGTTGTTAGATACATAAAGATCTACTTTTTATATTAGATGTATAAAAGAGAATCTTTTATCCTGCATATGGACTAGTTTTAGCAGAGCTGAAGACTACCTGAGGGTCATTTTCCCAAATAGGTTCCCCATTTTCAGGCACCCAAAGCAGTGGTCCCCCAGCACTGACGATCACTCACACATATTTATCCAGACCCACGGGGTGTGCCAGGGCCCCTTGCATGACGCCGCTTGAGCGGCCCTCAGAAACGTGCCTACCTGCCCTCTGATTTCACAGTCATACAACGTTCAGTTCATTTGCTTAACTTCCATTCAAGCCGAAGACTATTACCCAAAAGGAAAAAGTGTCTGACGTTGACTTTACCGTTTTCTAAAAAGTTCAAGCTAATGCCCACGTAAATTACATTTCTCAGGAATTAGCCAAGATCTCTCTGGAAAGCTGTGCGTAGGTAACCTTCGGGACCCCGTTTTCCCACCTACTTCTATGCTCACACTGTGCTAAGGAAGAAAAGGTGAGGGCATAAACTCTGCCCCTCCAGTTCTGACCTGGGAGTCCCTGACAAGTACAGAAGTTTCAGTGGCCGCAGGTGTTCACTGACCACACTGTTGTGACAGAAGAAAGTGTATTTGCTTACTTCTGTGCCAGCTGTACTTTCAGATAAAATCCTTTATTGTTCTTACAGGGCCTTTGCTTTACACGAAGGCCTGTGAATTCCAGGCTGTCCGTGACCCCTTGCTACTCCAGCAGATGGGACTTTGGTCCTCTGCCTGTAGCTGCCTTAGAAGCCAGCGTAGCGGACACGTGGGGGCAGGACTCGCCCCTTCTCCACCAAGGGCCTCAGAATAGGGGCAAACCCTCCCCACTCACTCAGCCATGTGAAACCGGCCGGGGGCGTGACCGGCCCGATGCCCCTCAGCTTGTCTGGCAGAGCCTGCCCTGCATCCCGAATCTCCCTCCTGGGGCCCCACTGCCTCCTACAAACCCAGCCCTCACCCGGGTCCTCCCAGAGGGCTTCTGGGTTAGCATCAGCGCTCTGTCACACCAAGTGCTGAACAGCTGAGCAGCAGGAGTGGACTCTGCCTGTGGGTCCCGGCGAGAGGCTGTGGTGTCAGCCTCGGGCCTGTACCGGCCCGGAAGACCCAGGCTTAGAAGAAACCCGTTCCTCCCTGGGCAGAGCCCTTCACGAACGTTGGAGGTCAACTGGCCCTTCTGTAGCAATGTTAGTTTTTTTCTGTCCGTGCCCGTCTGAACCAGGAGACGTCCCCAGATCATGTTTGGGTTTTAAAACCCGTCGCTTTGTTGCTTCAAACTCACCATGTTGTCACTTCCCATGCGCTGTCTTCAACATGCCGGGCACTAATAGCAAATGGCCTGATGGTTCTGTGTATTCACAACTGGGGTCAAAGATTTTTCTCAAACCAAAAGTCTCTGGGGACCGA